AGTAACAATTAGGATAAACCCCAGAAAATTGGTCAGTGTGGTTTAAATAGTATACATTTCAAAATTGTAAATGTAATACTAAACAACAGAGCTGGAACCACGCAAATAAAAAATCCTGTATATGACATGACGATAAGCCATAAAACGTATCGTAACAGATTTATAAGTAATGAAAAAGTAAACGTGATACGATGAACTATAAAAATAAAGTAGAACGGATGTAATAATACTTCAATAAACTGCATAAATCACTTAAATTAGAATCTAAAATAACGGATAAACAATATTTGACTATTTAAACCTGTCACAGATCACTTGCCGTATATTAACACTTAGTGGCGAAAATTTGTTAATATTTTTCTAAGTAAATGTTCTACAGATGTAGTTGGCAGAAACCAGAAGTCTGATAATATCAACACATTGAAGAGGAGGTCTTCACTCGATTGAGAGTTTTAACAACGTTTTCTCTACAATATAAATAAAATGGTTTTTATAGACAGCTAAATAAGTTGAATTTAGTGCATATTTATAACATGAAAACTACAAGATTTTAAATCAAGTGGATGTTTCATGCTGTTGAGAATCTGGTTAAAATTATCTCTTGCTGGTATTCATATACTTGTAAAACGCAAATAGGGGTTGTTGTTTACTTCATCCATTATTGTAATTAAAGGAAGTGGTTGTGCTTACTTCATCCGAACAGTAGTGTTAGAACTGCAACTTATATTCCAAAAGTGGGCTACCATAAGCTTTAAACGTTTGAGGTTTGGTGGGTAATTTATAAATCGAATCACAGATGTTAAAACCCGGATGTTGCTATCGAGAATGCTCTTTTAGCGAAATATATATTTCAATTTTAAGTCTTGATTTGAGGAACCATTTGCTTTGTTCTGTTAATTTCATTGGTCATAATTCATTATCTCACTCGTCTCTCTCGACACTGTAACTTATATAGGACTTTTGATTTTAACTAAACTTATCAAAGTAAATATGTACTATAAGCAACACGTTTACATCAAGTTGGCGTAAGAATAAATCAACACATTAACTTTCAAGAAAGGAACTTTATATTCCACCCCTGATTGAGTCATACTAATAAGATAACATTTAATATAAATTATGATTTTAACAAGAAAGAAAGAAAGAGATTGATCAAGTACAAACTTATATAAGTTGATAAACAGCACGGTGGGAGTTTGTTAGAAAACTATTAAATAACTTGAAAAAATCTTATTATTTTGACATTTTCACCTAAAGTGCAGAATTTTCACCAATAAATCAGGTAAATAAAGACCCCAGGATGTGACGCCATGACACCACACTTCACCCGTTAGTTTTCATACAGATCTAGGGGGGCCTCATATATCTCAGACAATGTTTAAAATTATAGAAAAGATTGCGTGTTTATGAGGATTCATTTCATTAGTAGATTTACGTATCAAATGCAATCCCCACTGCAAATTTAGAGCCTTTGCTTAGGCAATCATCACCCCATTTGATCTGTAAACAACACAAACGACTACTGCCTGGTGTGTGGCCTCGAATATTTTCGGTACTTTCCGGTGCGATATAGTCGTCTATCAGAAGATGATTTTAGGAATTAATAAACAAACTTCACATGTTAAAGAAGCTGCCTCTCTTGTATTAAAGATTTGGTTTACTCTGATAAAGTTATGCTTTACCTTAATATATAGTAAGGTATATATCAATATATACCAGATTTCGGATAAAATATACTTACCTGTATAGCCAGAAGAAAGGTAAACTACATCTTCTGTCAGAAAAATACCACTTGTCAACTTATCAGATTATTTTCAATCATGATGGATTTAGGTAGACAGTGATGTAATGTCAATGTACTTCGATGTGTATTTGAACCTTTAAAATACCTATACATGGTCTGCCATGGTAAAAAAAATTCTTGTCACAGTATTTCAGAGGAAATGGAAAGTGGCAAGCATATATCGTTACAGCACGATTAACCAATGTTCCAGACAGTTGTGATACAGTGCTCGAGCATAGACAGTTAAATAAATAAAAACAGCTTCCTATATACATATTACATTTATGGTCCATGGTTAGGTGTAGATTGTAAGCCAGTGACTTAACTACATGAGTGGTGTTTTTTTTACATTTTAAAACTCTTCTTTGAGGTGAGGGCCCGTGGACTTCAACAACCCGTCCCTGTGGTAGTAGAGCAACTGTTTGTTACTGTCTGCATTGGCTGGATTAGGTACAGCAGAACCAAAAAGTTAAACTCCAAGTTAACTGGTAATGTTGTATTTGACAAGGATAATGAATATAAGCTTTCTGATTTAAAATGTTGTTATTAACCTGTCGTTCTTGATTACCTTAGCAATCCACTGTAAAGACCAGTTGATAGTTTTTGCTCATTTACCAATTATCTTCATTTTGGTTTCAAGTACTATTCAACTTATGGACCCTCACAAATATATATATTGAACAAATAGAACCACGCGTGTGGCGATAATTAACCGTCTGTAAAATGGCATCACCAAAAACTAGCTCCAGATCAGTAGAACGCCACTACATGTTGCCCTAGACTTACCAATTGACTTGGCAATTGATTCCGACTATACCGCGATTCCAGGACGTTGTGATGCATAGCCGTACGCACAGAAGAAACATATTATACTTGTATCATTTACACTAAAAGGTATAAAAGAGAACCAGGTTACTCGATAGAATATTGTAGACCATCTGTTTGGCTATTGTCCACTTCTGGTAAATCAGTTTGAATAAAATGCTTAACATTTTATCACATATATAAACGACCTGAATGTTTTTTCACCCTGTCAGAATCGCAAAGAAAGCAATAAAACTTCAAGTTGTTATCGGCTATTTACTGATATATTTGTGAATTGTCTTTCATCGTGTGAAATCTTACACAATGCACCAGTGTCGAGTGATGGTGGTTGAAGGTTAAAATCTTAGATTAATGATAAATATACAATACAATATATTCTTATTTCTATATCATTTAAATAAACATTGATATCAAACTTAGTGGGATTCAAAATAAAGACCAATAGACACTGCTTCATTATCTTAATTTCCTGTTGGCGACATGCAGATGAAGAATTCGCGCCAAAATTAGGCGTAAGTTAATTTTGTGAAAACAAGTCGACTGGCATGAGAAGAATATAAGAATTGTTGTAAATTACAAAGAGGTGTTTTATCATTTTGTTTCTATGTAATCGTGCTATGACAATTCATGATAAGTGAGAAAATAATGTTATCTTTTAAAAGAGAAGCTTCTTTAACGCTAACTAGCCTATCAACGCCAAGTTTAAAGATAGGAATAAAATTTAACTTGGCATCTCAACTATAATTTTAACTTGGCGTTGACGGTTCGAGATAACTACACATCATTCATGGCGTTAAGGTTTTCCATCCAGCAAACTACATGTACCTCTTGAGTAGGCGATTTTATCGGATTAACCGGTTTTCTAAGAATAAAAGCATTATTGTTCTTTGACAAATACTGAAAGTGATAGGCTATCAATATCAAAAAGTCCACTTACTAACATGGATATATCCATTCCAAAACTGAAATGATTTACTTATTCCTACAACTGGCAATGTAAGTTCTATAGACAATAGATCATTATAACATCATAGCTGCTTGTTTTTAGCATGGTTTTGGTAGTACTTACTAGTACTTCAGATGGTAGTTAGTGAATAAGGACAGTTAGTAAACCAAGTTTTCTGAATTGCATGGCAATCTTATATAGAGTTGTAATCAGATATTTGAGTTTTTATACAGATTTACTTGTGAAAATCAGAAGTTTTCAGAAACAAATTAAATAGTTTTTTGCAGTATTGTAATCATAATGTTTTCTATCATTTAGAAATGCCTTTGAAGAACAGTCAGGATGAGAACTTCTACGTTTAGTAAATCATGCAAATAAAATATATAGAATTAAGAGCCAGTCGCTTAATATCGTCGTGCATTTTAACCTCTATATGGTTCGATAATACGTATTGAAATCAAAAGAAACCCCAAAAACTGTCATGACAATAATGCTTTAATAATCACAACGAAAGTTCTTGCTATTTCAATATTTTGCTCCATAACAAAGGCACAATCTACACGACTTTCACTCTACCACAGACACAAGTTGCTGTAAGCTGGTAATTCAGTGCAGGGTTCAAGCCTCTTATATTATAATTACACATTTTAAACAGAGTGAGACTAACAATTATTACTTTGATAAATAATAAAATAAACAGTATCACAGTTTTAACAATAATTCACAAACTTATTACAGTTAACAATAATTATATTACAATACATGTTTTAATAATAATATTTACAGACTAATCTGCATTTTCCACCGAAAGAATGTTATCTAGGTTTGATATTGAATCAATGTAGAGTAGATTCGCAACAATATTTTGGATCCCTTTTGGAATCTGTAACAACATAGTCACTACTGATACTGTTCAGTATCCACAATGGTTTTACCAAAATCCTCACGTATGTAGGAGCTTTCTTCATGTTTCTGCAGATCGAGATTTTTCCATGTATGGATGGTAACGATGTAAACCCTGTGTATGTGCAGGAGATTTTGTCGTCTGTTGCGCAGCTCTTATATAATTTTGATAAATGGAACTTCTGATCATCATTTCATTTAAGGCGGCTGCTGATTGGCTGTCATTATTGTAGACGTGATTAACCAGTTGTGTGTACATGGTGAGCTGAGATTTATCTACGATAGTAGGTGGAAGTGAACCAAAAGGCATTCGCCAAGCATTCATATAAGAAATGGCCATTGAACTGTAGTCTGGAAAATAGCAACATAAATTCATACAATATTTCTATATCGCTCTACATTTGATGTATTGAGCAATTTTTTAACTGTTAGCATTTTTTGGAACAAATGACTATTGAACATCAATTAAAAGCATCAAAACTTGCGATTCCATAATCAGTTATAGGCCTGGTGTATTTCACAATATTTAGGCTTAGAATAATATTAACACCCTTGTTTTAGAGGAGAAATTGAAACATTACCTTTATCCTTTTCAACATCGATCATGTGAACAGAAGGCAGAGCTCGTAGTGGTGATCGGGCATAGGAATGACTGTGGATTAAAGACTCCATTGTTTCTCTGAAATAAACATAAATTGTTCAATCTGATTTATAAGATGGACACAAGAAATGATACTCAACAATAGTTATTATTGATAGATATTTTGACGAAAGAAGAAATTAGTGATATTGATCAGTGAACATGGTCTTTCAATTTACCTATCAAAGTCTGTTAGCCTAGTAGAATCTCTAAACCCTTTAGCAAATGGATTACTGTCTATCTTTAATTTCGTGATCTGAAAAGACAAAAATTTGGTATTGAGACAATATGCTATATTCCTTGAAAACATCTTCATTTTACAAAACACGTAGGCTTACATATGAGACGGAATTTAATTGAATTTTAAGAGATTTTGATAAGGTTATAAATAGCATCAAGACATCATTGGCTACAGTTGTGAAATTTCACAAAGTAACGTGTAACACCAGGGAGCACGACCTTACAGATACTCCACTCCATAAACATTCAGTAGTGATTGGAACTACCTCAACATTTAGCTGGTGTCAAGCCAGATGGCATACTGTAGGAGATAATCCGTGAGAAAGGAGGAAGAAGAAGATAATAGTTGTGGTTGATGAGTAAATGCACTCAAGTAACATTTGATCTTTTCTACACCATCTTCACTAATTACATACATAAAATTGTTGGTGTTGGACCTTTATACAATAAAACATAAGATAATTTCTTCTCAAAATTTAAATAAAAGATTTCATATGTTTTGAATGCCACAAAAACGACAATCTCTTTCGCATTTGATTTTTTTTTTCGTTTTAAACAACATCATGCTCCTCTATTTCAGTGTGGACTAATGAAGATGTTTGTCAAACAACTGAAGGTAAATGGTGACGCTTTGGCACTTGTGACAACTGTTGAGGGTACTTAAACATGTACTGCCTGGTAAGACAGGTTTCGCTGTCTATGACTGAAGCGAGATGGACACTTGCCCCCTGTCAGTGATCGGGAGATGTTTTTTTCAGAAGAAGTAATATTCAATGTGTCAATGTACTAACCAATTGATTCTGGTAAGCTGTTACACCAATAAATATTGTTTCAGGAAAAGAATATGTCTTCACTTCGTGTCCCTCTAGAGAAGTAATCGGTAGTTGTATATCATCAGTCTTCTTTACAACATGAACTCGTGGTTGATATTTGTGCATAGAATTGACTATAGTCTGTAAAAGAGAAAATGGTATTTTAGTTGATCTGATATTGAAAGTATTCATTGCTAGAGATTAATGCTATCTTTCAGATGGTTTATTTCTGAATTTTAACACTTAAATGAATGAGAGTCAACGCCTTTGTGATGTATGGTATCTGTAACCAGTAGGTCAACCAGATCGTTTTATTTCTTTGCCTCACAAATTCCTTCTTAAATCCCAACTTTGAAATTGTATCGTTCGACTGGGCTATTGTCTGGTAACTTCCAAAGTGACCGAAAGCTTTGACTGTCGTCTTAAGGCACGTTTCATAAACCAAGAAGTCTTAAAATATTCTTCAATTACATTTTCATTTAATTCGTGAGGATTGAAAAGTGAAATTCAAGAAATTAAAGATAAAAAATTCTTCTGGCACCCAAATATTTGATACGTTTTGCCGACATGGTAATATTTTTTCTTTCCTTGTTCTCTGGCACTAGAATTAAAAGCTTAAAGCCATCTCCCACAATAATTCCACTGAGAAAAAAATCATGCCAAAATAAGAAAAACAAGCGATTGAAATAGTTTTTTCCTTGAAGTGTGGTCAATTAAAATATTTGATAATAACTTTATTATCGACCTGTGATATATTTGACGGATTATGAGATTATAATTTACTTGTGTTGAAACTAGTATTGGGCGATGTTTCAATTTTGTTTAAAACTTTCAGCCACAAGATCAAAATTTACCCTTAGTTTGAATAAGATTTTGTTGATATCTCGTATTTTTTTTCCTTGATGAAATCTCAAACGTTTTTTCTCCCTATTTTGTGGAAAAAAAAAGTTCTATTTTCTGTTTTGTGTACAGCCTTTTGTGTGGTTAATTTCAAGTTAGGTGATCAACGTCTCTATTCTCGACCCGAACCATTGCAGTAAAATGCATTGGATAACTGTTGCCCGTTAATTGTACCCGTTTTCGGCACTCTTGTCTGTGGGAATCTTTCAATTAATCACCCGGATGTAAACAAAATGACATTGAATACTAACGAATTTATCGCAGCAAAAAGGTAACTATCTTATAAAGATCGCATCATGTTAGTTTTCTTTTTTACCATGCTGGCCTACAGCAAGAAGATACTTTTGCATATACTTACATGGCCGGATTTATCTAAAACATTATTTGTAAGTTTCAACTTTTCAAATGACACAGTTTGTTTTATGAGTTGGTCTCCTGTAAATGGTGAATCTGGGTGGACGTGGAAACGAGCAGGAAGCGGTGGGTCGGCTTTTCCAGCAACTAACCACGATGATCTATGGTAGGCGTAGCGATATCTTTTATTATCAACTGGAACTATATCCATAATAACATAATATTTTTGCTCGGGGCTTAAGCCAGAAAACGAAACTCGAACCGTGGGAAACATTCGCCTGAAAAAAAGTAACGAAATTGAATGATGATATTTCATTAATTATTTCATCTTTTATTAATTCAATTTAAAGCATTTTTGTTAAAAGCTCACGCATGGAAATTATATCTTTCTTTTAATCATTTTATATTTGATCTCAGTTGGTCGATTTTTTTCCTCTTGACCGTCTTAAATATATCATATATACCATTAACAAACTCTTTATTTTCTTAATAATTAGAAATTTCCGCTTTTAGCTGATTCAGATATAAGAATCAGAAATAAGTGTTTTCGTAATATCATAATACAAACATAATGCCCGTAATTGTTAATTGAAAAAGGTTCGAGTTTGTACACAAGTGTGTTAAAATTACTTGCAAATGGCGACATAAAAACTTTTTTTTTGTATTATTTTGGTTGTCCCTTCCCTTTCAATTTTCTTTAAAATTAATCGAAGTTCTGTTTGTCAGATAAACAGGAAGGATCTCTTCTCATAAAGGAATTGTTTTTTCGGGTATTTTTTATTATTATTATTACTAACACATAAAGTCAAATTTATTCCTGTCTTAATGCTCTGGACCAATTGGTTTTGTTAATGGGGTTGTAAAGAGGTTTTCTAGCCTTTGTACGTGTATTTAGTTAGACATGCCACCATCATGGAAGGAGAAATAACATATATTATTATGTTTTTGTGATCCGGTGGTAGGTTGGTTACGAATTCTCTATCGGAAGCTGCATCATTTCCGGTTAACTCTTTCTGGAATTGCAGGAACCACAGGCATCGGACTGGATGCCCCAAATTGGAATGTCCCGATAATCATAAAGCTGCAAGAAAACCTTTTATAGTCCCTTTAACTTACGGTATGAAGAATTATAATTATGATTAATTAGTTCTATTTTAAGGTTCTGTGAGGAGGGTTCCATGCTGCCTAAATTCAACTTGATATGTCAGGCAAAATAATAGGTAATTTCTTTAGGTTGCTTTTAAAAATTAACGCGGAAGATTAAATGCGGGCATAGAGTGGCAGAAAGTTAAGATCGTTAAACCTTGAAAATACTTGAAACAAGAGAAAGTGCGGTATAAAATGGTTGTAAAAATCTTACTTTCTATAACTGTTGTAAATATGTTATTTAGGTACGTAATATTGAATATATGTATATGGTAATGATCTCCGTTACGTATGTTGGGTATAGTTTGTAAACATGTGATTTCATTGAGGTATATGAGAATTTTATATTCGACTAGAGAAATATCGTTGATAAGCAAAACAGCTATGCGGTATTACAAATATGCCTTCAAGCTACATGCTTATTGTTTACTTGTTGCAGAGTGACATATAAGAATTTTATTGAAAACATGTTCCATAGATAAAGTAAACGTAAACCCGTTCATGTCTGTACGTTCTCTCTATATATAGGATTGCAATACTTTCTTTCGGTATGGTATTGTAAACACGTTCTTTAGGTATGGTACTGTAAACACGTTCTTATAAACACGTTCCTTAGGTATGGTACTGTAAGCACGTTCTTATAAACACGTTCCTTAGGTGTGGTATTGTAAACACGTTTTTATAAACACGTTCCTAAGGTATGGTATTTTAAATACGTTCTTGAGGTATGGTACTGTAAGCACGTTCTTATAAACACGTTCTTTAGGTATGGTACTGTAAACTCATTTTTATAAACACGTTCTTAAGGTATGGTATTTTAAATACTTTCTTGAGGTATGGTATTGTAAACACGTTCTTATAAAAACCTTTTTTAAGCATGTTATTGTAAACAATTTCTTTATGTATGATTTTTAATTTCCAAGCATCGTAAGTTGATTTCCACAAAACAATTAAAGGAACAATTTTAATTTAACATCTATCATACACGAAAAACTAAAACTATGATATCATGTATGTTATTCTGAAGACACGTGATATACTTCACGTGTATACGAAACAGGGAAATTATAAGCGATGACGCCTGGCATCATAATTGAGGAGGGGAAATATAATTATACATACATTTTATTAAAAAATGTAATTTATTTGTTGTTCTTTATCTGGGTGTGTATAAACATGTTATCATGTTATATTTTCCATGCTTATTCTTCATAGATGCCACGTGTATACTGAACACATATTATTGTTTAAACTTTATATTTCGAAAGTAGTGTAATAATATTACATATAGTATTGTATTATGAAGTCGGTATGATATTATGAACTTAATATTTCTCGTTGATCATGTAAAATATAAATTATAGTTAAATTAAACCAATATATAGTCCAAATAATCAAAGCTCGATGCAACTGTAATACGTGAGCTAATAAAAAGAAAAACAGTTAGAATAAAGAGAGACTTATTGTAAAGACTTGCAAAAATTCTGGTTCGTGGTTCGGGAAATAACGTGAGTTAACTGTATAACTGTTTAGTTTTAATAGAACAGGAAGACAAACAATACAATAGCACAAAGTAGCGATTTATAAGCGGCTTTTATAATAAGAATTTTATCATAAGAGTATTATGGGTTAAGATTCTGCACTTAAGGGAGATGTTGGCGAGAGAAAATAAGAGAGAAAGTAATATTAAGATGATCTGTAGTTTAATAATAACTAGAAATGGACAAATCAACATGTTATAAATCACTTTATCACTGACAATCACAGAAAATTACATTTGTTATGTTTTCAGTAATAACGAGCTTAAATTGTTAATCTTACTCTATAAATTGTCACCTAATATACTTTCTTTCACAAGAGTGGCCATTCGCTGACCATACATCGGTTTTAATGCGTTTATCACTCGATTACATCTGTACACTTTCTAATTAGACGAAGTTAATTGTAGGCTTCTTCACTACAGCATACCGTATTTTACTGGCCACACTTTTCTTTCTTAACAACTAAACAAGTGCTTTAATCCGCCAATCAAATTGTCACAATTCGATAATAACATAGTAAACAAACATTTGTCTCCCCACAGCAAATAAATTAAATCATAAAAGGAACAGTATAAATAGCAACAAAAGAAAATCCGACCTCGAGGCTAACATCATTGAAGTCAAGCGCACCCTACCGAGCCTCACGTCTGTTGAGAGTTATGTTTCCTTGCCTGTGGGGTATTTATCTAAGATTTCTTTAACACTGCGGGACAACTTTTCAATTTCAAAAAAGTTTCATATAATACGATCATCTCGGATCATCGGGGTGACATCTGATTTGTTATTTATCGTTTGGGGCGGAAAAAATTACCTTACCGAATCAAAAGTCAATCCATCTATTGTCCAGGAAAAGAGGCCGCAGTTATAGTAGGCCAAACCAAAACTTAGACATAAACGATCTGGTAAAGCACCATATTTAAAGGATTTGTCTATATAACCTCTTAATCGATTTACCACTAGAAAATTAGAAGTTTGTATTTTACTGCTCTACTCAAATTAGTCAATGATTTAAAGGATCTCCAAACATTCTGGTCCAAAATAAGGAAATTTTACACGTTTGACCATACATAGCTTCTAATATTATACTACTTATTTATAAAACACTTTTTGAAATGAAAAATGAAATAAACGGAGTTTTACGTCAATCGCTTTTGAAAATACCACATGTAACATGATATAGGTAGATGAACATTGCGAAGCACACGGTTTAGTTCTGGAATGGTAGTCAATCAAATTTTTATCAATGGCTTCAGTTTATAAAGAAATTCGACAAATATAATAAATCGTTAACTCTTCATGCAAAGAGATGTCGTTGATAAGGAAATAAAGGTGTATTTTTAGTATTCAGATCACTTTTTCAATAATTATATTGATATTTTAATTGATTATGATAATCGTTTGTGAACTTCCGGTTAAGTTAAAATTTATAATATGTTAAATTTCTATTTTTTTTTTTACCGTTCATCCGCCATGATGATTGTTTTCAGATCATACTCAGCTAGTTAGCAATAGGAATTCTTGAAGTTTGCATTTTTGCAATATAAATATGATTTCTCAGAAAAAAGATACTTAATTATGTCAAAACGAATTTCTCTGATACAAGCCTAAAATGATTATATTGATTAGAAGCTTTGACAATGTGGAAAGGGGCAGAAATAGTATGTGACACTCATTGCTTTATTTCATTTCGACACTTTTTGTTCCATTTGCTTTCTATATATTATATTATATTTTCACATGGAAATGTACGCGTATATCGCCGCCGCCCCCGTCCTTCGGTCCATCTGTCCGTCCAAATTTCTTGTAAGCACTACAGAGACTACCGTTTATATTTGATTTTAATGAAATTTGGTGTGATCATACATATTGATGAGATCTTGGACAAGTTCGAATTTTTCAATGAACAGTTTATGAGTTTATTTACCTTGACTTAGCCATAAAGTGTCGAAAAAATTTTCTGAGCACTAAAGAGACTACAGTTTTGATCAAATTTAAATGAAATTTATTCTGATCATGTATATTGATGGGGAATTTTAATATTTTTCGATGAATTAATGCCCTTGACTTGGTCAAAAGAGATTGCAGTTTTCATCTGATTTTAATGAAACTTGGTGTGATCATTTATATTGATGTTATCTTGGACAAGTTCAAGTTTGACGATATTTAGATGGGTTTTTTTTAGTTATTACCCTTGGCTTAGAGAAAACGAGACAAAGTTTTGTTTGTGAGCACAATAGAATCTACAATTTACAATCGATTTTAATGAAATTGGTGTGATCATATTGATGAGGTCAAGGACAAGTTCGAATTTGACGATCTTTCGATAAACAGATTTGAGTTATTCCCTTTGACTGCGTAAAAACGCGTCCAAACTTTTTGTGAGCAGAAAAGAAACTACATTTTTCATCTGATTTCAATGAAATTGGCTGTGATCATATATTTTTATGGATAAGATCTTTGAAAGATCAAATTTGATGATTTGTTTAGATGAACGGTATTTGAGTTATTGCCCTCGACCACAGCCATATACGCCCACCACGGCATGCGGATTGTAAATATTCAAAATTTTGGGGCAAGGGCAATAACTCTGCTTCTAGCGGTCGAAAATATCTCAAATTCGAACTTAATCTTCGTTTTATGAATATGTATACACATACCGAATTTCATTTGATTCCATCAAAAAATCTAGTTTTTAGACCGTTTACTAGCAAATGTTGACGGACGGACGGACCGACGGGGGTGCCGACAAAATACGTCCACATAGAGAGATGTGGGCGTATAAAAAAGCGTCATTAGTGGTTAGTGAGTACAATAGAAACAAGAATGATTTAGGTGAAATTTGCTCTGATCATTTATATTGATGAGATCTATACGTAGATAATTTCGAATTTCACTATTTTTCAGTGAACCGTCTTTGAGTTATTGCCCTTGACTTAAACACGTCAAAATTTGATCATGAGCACAAATGAAGCTGCGATCAATTGATCAGGTCTTTAGTTATGAGTTGATTACTTTTGCAATGAACATTATCTGAGTATTGAATAGAAACTTGTTGACAGATAAATTTATTAAATCTAAAAATCTAACAAGGCTGTGTCGGCGTATGTGTACCTTGCCTTGTAAGTTATATTTTGTAGAAAACACATGGTTTTTATACGCCCACATTGTCATATGTGTACCTTTAGGGTCGGCACCCATTTCGAAAATCGAAACGAAAATCAAGTTGGTTTGTATGTATGTGAAAATGAAAATAAAATGAAGATCGCTTGTGAACGTAATCAGAATGTGACCATTGCGAATTTTAACCCACTTGTCCACCACTGTAATCTTGATTAGTAAAAAACCGATTTTCATAAAAAAAAATTCTGGTAACCCCTATGTTATAGAACACAAGATTTTATTAACATTTTTGAGCAAATTTTATCATTTGTTATTGTTCATTTTCACTCAATAATTTCATATTGTGTTATCTATGGTCATTGGCTATTCTAAATAATAAAAACCAAAATCACAGTCTGACTCTGATCGTTGTAGAAAATAATCAGTGAATCAGTCTCCCGAGATTTTGAATTAGTCTGCAAATATTCAGCGTTCAACATTGTTTACTCCGAAGTCCGAGTTGTAAGAGAGTAGGTTTTAGGATGGTCGAACGTTGACAATTTAATGAGTTGTTGTAAACCTTAGCTCATTATTTGAGGTGATGTGGAAATAAGGTTCACTAGTAAGATAATATATTAATTAAAATCACGATTTAATTATCTTTCTTTTACCTACAGTCTGTCCCAAACTTAGAGTTAATTTAGGAGAATGTTGTACCCATTTCCCCGTTTTCACTCCTTAGTCATCAAAGATTTACATGTTCTCAAGTAATATTTAATTGTATCGTTCATTTGGCGCGAACCAATACATTATCCCAAGACGACATTTTCCCATTACCTTACACCAAATTTACCTTCCTTTACCTTTAATACTGGAGCTCACACATATAAATTAACTTGTTAACTTGGAAATAGAACAGATTTCTCACCGTATTGGGTGACACTAAGATCATTAAACTAGTAAATGAGTAAATTTGATTATAAAATATTCTTTAATGTTAAAGATTAGGAGAGAAGAAAGTGTAAAAGATAAATTAATTTCATTTTAATCAAAGTTTCAGGTAAAACAGATTTCAAAACAAATTCCTAAGGTCTACTGAAGACATTAATTCCAATAATTTCAAAATATAATTAATTAATCAATCAATTATAAGACTACAAGAACTAATATTTGATATTTAATTAATATGTTTTTTTAAATCCTAAGCGCATACCACAAGAAGATATCCATTCCGACTAGACTGGTTTAAGTTGGGTAAATTAAGTTCTTTCAAAATAATAATCAATAAATATTGTAAATAAATACTTACCTTCCAGTTTTGGTAATGATCATTTCTGTGCCGAGTTCATGAAATTTAGCCCAAAGTTCTTTAGTTTCTAAACGACAATGCACTTTATCTGTTTTTAAATTCAAAGCAGATTCCGGAGTATTTTTTTTTGTCTCGTTTTTTTTTAGGATTCTTTCATCTTCGCCTGAAATTAATGAATAAAAATAACGCAATTTTATTAAGCAGTGTAAACAACGGACCATTGCACGCTTGTATCAAAATTCAGAAGAAATTTCTGAATATTTTTTGTGAAAGACAGGAAAGCATGATAAGCTGTTTAGCAAATTTGGTAAATGTGGAAGGGAATAAGGACTCGTAACAAATAAGTACGAAATCACAGAGGAGAAAAAGTAATTTTAAGATCAAGAGATATTTCAAGCATATATTCATTTGGATCTGGGGTGGGATATTAGAAGAAAATACATAAAGGAAATTTCGTCGCATATATTTACGCTGTGCATACCTTTCATTCTACAATGCAATTCTAAGAATCGCGAAATAATAAAATGTTTTATGGTGCAAGGGAAAGAGCTGTTTAATTTTCCATATACATGTCTATCTACTGCACCGTCAAACGAACTTTTAATTAGTCTTTATTAAATAGATCAAAAGTAAGAAACTTACACTTAATGTCATCTTTTTCTGCTTCGCCATCTTTAGAAATGTCCTCGGGTACATTACTTTCTCCAATTAAAGATGCGATACTGAATTTGCTAGCTTTATCAGATAATTGTGCCATTTTGGTTGAGTTTTTACAGTCTTCTGCTATTATTGTACTGACGACTAAATTGTCTTCTTGGACTTCTTCTTTAATATCCATTTTCATAGCGTGTTAAAACCGTGTAAATATCGGATATCCAAATTATAGATGAAATGCAAATGATTACACTGCAAAACTTCTTCGTGTTGAGAAACTTTTGATGAGAATTATACGAAAATAAAAGTAGCATAGCTTTTCATTAACAAGAGTGGTGTGAGCTCAATGTAAGGAAGGTTTTCATTGGTCGACTGTTGAACTGCCAAGAAGAGAAGAAAACGATGGAGGCGTGAACGAGACAAAGTTAGCAGATTGGATATCATTTAATTGGTCTGTCGATACAGCTTCTTTCAACACATAACACATTCAACTAGCTTTATTTTCCCTTGTACTTATTACTGGCTGGATTTCAACTGACTTAATCAGTCAACCTCTTGACTTGATCCTACCCATATTAACCCCAGACGTCTCCATGACGTGAGATGGTACAAATTACCCAGTCAGAAATCTACCTAACATATCTACATAGGGCCCAGACTACCATCAACTAACCATTTATTTTATTCTTTATCACAATATGTAAAACTATACATGTGTTTCTCTCCATATTGAAACGCCTTGCTCGTTCATTTTCTGACAAAACTAGAATATGTTTACAGACGAACACTGTGTTAAAGTCTTTTTTTTAGAAAATTTTCGATGAAAAAGATCAAGCCGGAACTTTGAGTGCCGACATTTTTAGATTTATCAAAACTTATAATTACTAGGTGGCGAATGAGATACGTACGACAGCCTTATTCTAAATACAACCTAATCACAATATATTAGAGGTGAAAAATATCCCATGTCATGTTTTCGGTGATAGAAACACTTTATTTATCTAAATATTAGTAATTATTGGAAATTGACATAACACACAAATAACCCCAAATAATCTAACACCACAAAAACAGCTGTTAAAGCGGCAATTAGTTGAAAATGGGAAAACGATTTTATGGGAAAACAAAAAAATAACAATAGTGGTTGAAATATTATGGAAGAGAGGATTGAAACTCGATAAATCTTTGGGAGAATAATTTTATTACAATGAAGAAATTTACATCGGGATTTTAAGGGGGATAATGTCACTTTGAAAGAAATAGTTTCAGATTAATGCCAGAATACAACAAATAATATGTAAATATGTCAGACGATTATAAATCCAACCAAAATCATTCATCAGAGTAAATTTAAATTAGATATGATGCTATGAATTTTGATAATGCCATGCTTAAAAATGTATACTCGTCCATACAACCAATCTGCCATTCTGTTCTTTAACCCGGATGTACTGTCTATGAAACGATGGAAAGGTATATCTGTTAATTTATCTTTATCGGGATATAAGCCAAAGACGAAGATTTTAGTCGAACTGTTGGTCAACTTGACAATGTTGTTGGGCTGACAATATTATTTTTCCTTCTGATATTGGATTGGCATTGTTATTCTCTTCCTTTCTGATATTGGTTTGCATTGTTACTCTCTTTCTTGCTGATATTGGATTGACATTGTTATCTCTTTCTTTCTATTATCGAGTTGACATTGTTATTATTATATTCGTTTACTCTCTGTCATTGGTAGACTTGCCATTTCAAGTTATCGAATTATAATTGTTATTCTTCAATTCTGTTACAAATTGACATTGTTATACTTTCTTTCATTTTTTCGTGCACATTGTTATTCTTCCTTTCGGATTTTTGATTGATAAACACACTCTCCCTTACTGTTATCGAGTTGACATTGTTATTTTCCTTTCTGTTATCGAGTTGACATATTTACTGTTCTCTTCTGTTACTGTAATTCTTTCCTTCTGTTGTTGAGTTGAAATTATTATTAGATACAGACTAACATTGACATTTTTCTGTTTAAGGGATTACATTGCTATTTTCTTTTGCTGATCTGATTTACCTTTTTTTTTTTTTTTTTCATTTTGTTGGGTTGGATTGACTTTGTTTTTATATACTGTTATTATTGGGTTAACATCCTTTTGATATCAGGTTGACACTGGTATCCTTTCTTTTTATTTCCATGTTTATACACTAGTGCAGTTTTTGGTTGTTGTTAGTGCCTAACAAGGGACTAATACCACAAACATATTTACTTCTAATACTCTGTCATATAGTTTTTTTATATACATGTATTGTTATCGGTCAATATTACTATTGTCATCATCAAAACGAATCAATATAAACACAAATCGTACAAAGAATGAAGAGACTGAGTATTCCAAATACTTGTAAAAACAATGTTCAAAGTACAATTAATCTGTGTTTCATCAAGTTTGTCAGCTTTTCCCCGTCGAGTTGAAAGTGTAACACCAATATAGAGATAAGACGACCTGCACTTGATAACAGCTTGACTAGAAACTTTGTGATAACGACTGGAACGTCCCTCGAGATATTATAAAGGGAGAGAATCCATTATAACTATCATTGAAAACAGTTGAGATTAGAACAACGTCTCTTTATATAATCATTACTAACAAATTAGTAAATATTAAGATATTTTATCATCTGACACATCCTTTTTTCATATTCACCTTCTTTTTACTATTTTTCATAATGTTATATACCAGGAAACAGATATTTGGCACACACTGATTATCTTGAAGCTCCCAACAATGTGAATATATGGGAAAACAATACAAAATGTCATAATAGATGCATATATTACATGTACGTGCTGTTATACAGTTTTCAGACGTCTAATGATCTTTTAACAGATTCCAAATCAAACATTTTAAAGGAGCACCTTCACTATCCGTTCGACCAATCATACCTTAGTTTTAGAAACAGAAATTTTATTAGCTTACATAATCAGTATTAGTGTTCACAACTCATCGTCGAAATTTGAGCCTTCAAATCCACGTGTATCCATAATTATTCACGTTTGAAAGTTACAAATTCGACTCGAATTTTAGTGAGACTATGCCATATATAGAAAACACATATACAGGAATAGACAGTGATAGGTATATTTGAAGGGATTATGCGATTTTCATGCGTTATCAAAGCACAATAAAGATCCTAATCAATCCCCGTAAATGCCCACTGTTCCCCTTTAAAGAACTTTTATCGTAAAGGATAGAAAGCGCTATAACAGGACAATTTGATGATGTTTAAGTAAAATAATGATAGATCGTAATATTCGAGAAGACCAGACCGTGAAAATATCACTTTAAAATCAATCAATCAAATTAGATTTAAGGAACTGATAGGCGCCTATGGTCGTGTTAACAAAGTTTAGGTGTTGCGAAGTGACAATCATTTTTATTGGATACTTGAAGATTATTACCAGCTAACTGACATCATATTACTACAAACAATTTGGCACTGTTATACATCTGGATTATGTCACACAGCTTACCAAATGTCCGTATAGACTGGAGAAATGGCTCCCATCTCAATGTCAACCTTTAACAATCACTCCAAACACTTGAAATTCCAGTAAAACGACGTTATGGTTCTTGATTAACAGAAACAAATGTCCGCCTCTGGCGTCAAAAATTCCCAAATGTCATGATATTGGTAGAGTTGCTGTAATATTCGAGAAGAGAATTTATAACGGGTGGTATTTATATAATAACAGAATAATAATGATAGAGCTATATGAAGGATTGAATCTTTAAATGAAAAATAGTCAATGTATACTTCAGTATGTTAGTCATGTAGAAAATTGTTTGAAGTTATTTTTCAAAAAGGTTATTGTCACCAATAAATAGTTTAAATGACCTCCGCACACTTCCAAAAAAAAACATTTTAGGATAACGAGTTTCTTTTTTGGACAGCGTTTTCGTGAACAAGATTCAATCAAAAAGTTATTGGATATAGAAAAAATATTAAAGTTGAAGTTCAACAAAAATCTTTACCTTTTTACACTTAAAGAAATCAAGAGGTATAATCAATCGTTCATGTCCGCAAGCTTGAATCGGAACTTCACCAGCAAACAACAATTTGAAGCCTTGATGTAGCAATAGTAAAATTTATGGTGTAACCGATATTGTACAAGCTATTGTATACCATATCAATCTATTCAATATTTTATTCTACAAGAAATTTTTAAGCAAGCTATCAGGTTGAACGATCTACTTTTGAATATGTAGCCTAGTTTTTGTAGAGACTTTATTTGGATATGTGTGAAAATGAAATTTTTTCTGAATATTTGGTAACATAGGAACGGACATTTCCTCAGAGATACAAATACAATTTGGGTTTTCAGCCCAGCTTCTATTTTAAAGTTTTACACGTGGTGTAATTTGGAGTTGCGGTAAACAGAACGAGGGGTATGCCATTTATGGTAGGCATTTGGCTTGCAATTACCCTCAATAACAATCATGTATTGCCTCAGTCAAAATCCAAATCAAGAATTCTTAATATAAATTCTAATCGAAAAGCATAATGAAACTTGGTGCAAGAAAAACACATTGATTGATGAATGGGTTGACGTTTGACAAAAGATGCAGCAAAAAATTCAACAAACTATAATGAGAGTGGAACTTTGAAGAAGGATAACTAATTATAGTGAAAACTTTCTTTTCAAAAAAATCTTCTTTTTGCTTTTCATTTATTTGAAATAACGAGAAAATAATCCATCATATGCTATATTTGAAATAGTTTTCCTTTCTGCGTGGCTATCAGGGTCTCTGTGAAGCAAAAAGCAGAAAGTATTGCGTGTCAACCGACATTACGGTTAACTGTTATAAACTAGTAGGTTGTAAGGCCCAGCAGAGTACTGGGTGTTAAATTGCCTTGCGTGTAACCATTTAAAACGGTTATTCAACTGGAAACATCGTGGTTTAAATTTCCAAAAATTAGCCCTTGACACTCGATTAAACTGTTCACAAACTGATCTCAACACTTACCTTGCCTATCTGCTTGTCCATTTAGCGTGCTAACACCTGCAAATCTAATTGCTATATAATTATTTAATTGAACATGTTTGTAAGTTGCTCTTATCATCATTGAAATCTGGAAACTCAAATCTGTTTTGTCGTAGATAAGGTCGAAGAACAGGTTGAAATTAACGATTTATGTAAATATATCAGATAATTGTTGGTATCAACTTGAATTTATTATTAGGTCTTTTCCTTTATTTCATCACACATGAACATCGAATTTCCAGAAAATCATAAACTTGTATCATTAAAAGATTAACACAGTTGACAAAATAACAAGAATTATATCGTTCATGTAATTGTTCCTACAATAAATTAACAATGTTACTCAGTGCTAACGAATAATGTTTCATTTGTTGATTTACAATAACTACAGTTCAAGAGTAAAACAGCTTAAAGCAAATTTAAGAAAAACCTTAAACGTTGATCCGATACGACATAATAATACATGTATCAAAATCTACTGCATGTATTAACCTTTACCATCAAGTTACGTTCTGTTAAATTCATTAGATTTGGAGTAGGCTACTTGTATATCAAAATATCAATTGGTTTTTGCAATCATGTTCGCAACCGGAAGTGCCAATTGTGACCTTCTAAAATGCAACAATGTAAACAAGACGACAAGAAAATATTTTGTTTGCAGATAGTATGACTAAATGAAGTTATTCGATTTATTCTGATCATTGGGTACAGCTGTTTTGATTGTTTTAAGCGAACTCGAATATTAATATAGAATCTGAACCCTGGATGACATTTTCATGAATATATTTTTACCAAATAATTACACAATTATGATAAGATTGAAAACACCAAGGTAATAATTTAAGTTGAAATGTACCACACGCGTTTACTCTTTTCTTATCCTTATCTCTATTCTTTCAATTTGTTCGGTTTTTTTTTAATTTTACAAACGCCCATGTTCTAATCAGACAGGTGTAATGGCGGACTCATGACTTCCGGTAAGGATTTTAAAATACCGTGAAGAAGTTTTGTGAAAGTCGTTAACAATGATCATAAAGAAAGATAATCTTGATAGAATATACCACAATAACTGCCACAATTAGTCTTACTTCATCACAAAACACGTGCAAACACTTTCTCGTCGCCATATTGAAGTTATCAGTAGAAAATATCAGTAATATAAAATATCTATCAATGAGGCATGCCTTGTAATGGCGACAACTCTATACATTTTCTTACAGTTTTAGATGAAATAAGATGTTTTATTTCACGCGTACATATTAGTTACATGTCATAAAGAACCTCAAAATGTCTTATTGAATTAACAATTTCTCCAAATTTTCGTTTGAATCCTAACTTTTTACATCTCATTACTGTACATTTTAACATGCAACCGTACTGATAGGCATCAAGTTAAATTCAAGACAGATTTTACCCAGGTGTTGGTAGGTGCACGTGTAGGGCGTATACGTCATTGATGTCCTGCATTTGATTTTTTAATGGAAAGTATATTTAATCATTAATAACAGTTCTTTTAATTAGATTTAGTCACAGAATCTTTTGAGAAAACTCATCTATAAAATTCAAAGCAATTATATGCCCACAAAACATGTTTTAAAGAATCGAGCCGAGTAATATGATCAGTCAAAATTAGGGATATTAGAATAAAACTTTGGTCAATACTTTCTAAAGTATCTATCTGGCGATTTCTATGATATTCAATAATTGTCATTTCAGGTATTTTCTTCTCTTTTTTTTTATTTTTAATTCATTTTTTGGCTTATGGTTTGTGCAGATTTCGGTAAAGGGATATTATTCAAAATATTGCAATATGTTTATATTGCCAAAAATGATAATTTATCTCCTTTGTGAACTTGTCGAGAAGACCAAGAATGAAATTCCCCATTTCAATTCAAGTCTGTGATGATTGAAATGAAATGGAATTTATCACAAAATCACTTTCTTATGAATCGTCAACAATTTCACTTCCCTATATTATAAGCCATTTATCATACAAATCAGGGAAACATTTAAGGCAATATTAAATATGTCAGGGCTCAGAAGGGTGTGGGCTGGATTGTCTCCTTAACGATTAGATACCCGATTAGGTAAAATAAGGCCTGCGTTTTCGGGACGACCTCACCTAACTGACAAGGTACAACTAAAAAGATCTACTGTTTTCTATTATGTCTGTCTGTGAATAACGAGGACATTACTCACTAAGAATAAAGATACTGTATTAAATGTTGTGTTAATTAGGCTGTCTTGTCCACGTTCATCTTCTACCCTTACCTTCACATCAAACATTCTGTGAAAAGAAGGCCAGTTAGAATTTTCCTGATAAATTACCTAAAAGCGTGCATCCATTTTACCACAAGTTATCATTTACTCATTCATTACCGACATCAGTCTTTTTCTACATTTTTCTTTCAGTAAAGAGTTAAAATGAAGATAGAAGACGTTGAAATAATGAAAGAGATACGGGCACATTAATTAGGCATTGTTTCATCTTTCTTTAAAATATTAGATGGCTTCAGATTTAATAAATCATTAACTCAATGTGTGCTCGAAAGACTTCCTCCAACACTGAACATACCCTCTTCTTATTCGAAAGTAAAAAAAATCTGAAATTTGTTTAGTCACTTACTGAAAACACATATCATTAATTTGTTCTTGAAGCAATGTTTTCTCTGTCATTAACTGTATTGGAATTGTCCATTAAATTATTTAGACGAACACCACAAGAAATGTGGAAGTCAGTCCTGGTTAATGGCGAGAGAAAGTAAATGTTCTGAATAGGAGCAGATTGGATAGTCCAAGTATCCTATTACAGTCTACAGATGACCTTTATGTATTTATCAAGTTAATGAAAGTAATAAAATGTTCCAAGAATAGTTTAATCTCTTCCACCTAGCGTATTAATTATAAGAAGGGAGGATTACTGTTACAATCAAACATGTTCAAATTGGACAGAATTGCACGTTGCTACGGCAAAAATCAGTCACGTTAATTGTAGACAAATATAGGGGTCACACTATAACAAGATACCCCCCCAATCTTGCTGCATTAGCACAAACACAGTTCTTGGCACGGAACACTGTCTTTAAATAAAGATGTTTGCTTGTGTTTCATCCAGTATGGATTACTAACAGCCTTTCTGATAATCACTCGATTCAAACAAGGCATGCTCCTTGGAAACACGCGCCCGACTCGTCGGATCAATTGGCGTGCTAGAAGTATTACTATTCGCTACGGATTTGCACATCTTCAGCCCTGTACGTGATGTTTTAACGCCGTAACGAGCACAAGGCATTTGTAAGTGATTGCAAAGTGGCAAAATATGATTTGAGGGTTAAGCCATATCGTGACATTGTGTGATAGATATTGACTTAAGATTGTGTTTAATAAATAAACTGAACGTGTAGAGTAAGAAATAGATCTGATTTTAATTAATCATCATTAGTTCTAGAACACTGAAAGACTGTATCCTTTCTTAATTTCAATAACAATTTCTGGTGGATATTGACAAGATATGTTCATGTATCATCGTTTCATCTCTCTTTGACGCTGTAAACACACGTACAAGCTTTCCTTATCAAAAATGATACTCAATCAGACGAGACTGCTCTATCTTTCTACTGATTATAATTTTGAAAAGACTTTAAATGAATCCCCTTCTTCTTTAACTTTGAGTGAGGGAAATTCAGCAGGCATCATCCTTGGAGGTTCGAAACGGGGGTCACATCTGTATTGTGTGAAATCGGTGACGCCTTCTGATCTTAAAAAATCTTCGTCTATAAGGCACTTTCCATTCAACCTTCAATGGGAAATATGACAAAATATTATAAACTTAATTTAAAGGGACAGGTGCGCTATATTTTTGGACCAATTCTACTTTAGTTTCAGAAACGGGAATTTTTAGCTTTGCCAATCAGTAACAGTGTTTACAGCCCAGTCGCAATTTGAGCCATTAAATCCATGTGTGTCCGGAATTATCCGCGTTTGACGATTCGTCAATTTAAGATAATCTGTGATATACAGAAAAGACATATATAGAAATGGTGAGTAAAATTCCTACTATGAAGTATTTTTAAACAAATTATGGGATATGTGTACGTTTCTAGTACTTCTAAAGAATATTTACACATATTCAAGCCTAAAATAAACCCCTAAATGCTGCACCTGTCCCTTAAAGTAGAATATAATGCACGATGTACAATATTCTTCAATGTGTCTTTTTGAATTCAATGACTACAATTGTCGTGAACATTAAAGACATTAGATTAAAGCTTTAGGGAACTCACTTGCCAGACCGTTCTTGTGCTATTCGAAGACAAGCATCAGCAACTATTGTAGCTTTTCTCAATAATTTTTGTTCAATGTGATTAACATCAGTAACATGCGACTTGATTCCAGTGGCTGGCCAGAGAGATGTTATGCTTATACCTTGAAAAAAAGAAGGGTCATTAATTGATAATTTCCTGTGTAAGTCAGTTGTATTTGGTATTGACGACAACCAAGAAATGAAGCACAGCTGAAGTGTCACAGTAAATAAAATATTTGATGATATATATGTTTTGCTTCAGAAAAAGAACTATTGATACATTACCTGTATCTTTTAATTCTTTAGCTAGTCCTTGAGTTAAAATACTAACACCAATCTTACTAATTGAATATGGTGTCTTGCCTTCAAAAAATCTGGAAAAAAATCACACAGACGATAAATTCGCTGAAAGAAATGTTGACTATGTAGTGTTACATATGATAATTATGGCATATACACCGAATACTGAATTTTAAGCTGTTACGGTATACACTTTTGGTATAATAATGATGATTATACTATACACAGAAAACACTTTAACGCCCAGTTACTCTACATGAGATATTTTTACCGATTGGGGATAACACCCAATGCCGATCTTGGAAGGACTATTTACCAATGTCATCTTTAGATTGTGTGACCTATTGGCGGTATTTGGCTGAAGTATTCACTCCTTTCCCATTGCTTGTGTTGAACCAGAGCTTCACTGATATTTCAATTGAGTGGTAACCATACCTACCTGGAATATATGGGGGGTGAAACCATTATAAACTTCCCTGATTTCTGTTCTTGATAAACCGGGAGTAATTCCTCTACCATAGAATAAGAGCCACGTAAATTCACGTCTAACATGAGATCAAATCTTTTTAAAGGTGTTCTGCAAACTTTCTCCCAAAAGATTGACCCAGCATTGTAAACAGCCACATCAATTCCCCCAAATTTATCCATACAAGTTTTAACTGTATTTTTCACCTCAGTCATATCTCGTACATTACATTTCACTGGTAGAGCACTTCCACCCAAATCTTGTATTTCTTTGCTAACAGAATATATCGTCCCTGGAAGTTGTTTTGATTCATCTGTTGTTTTTGCAGCCACACAAACATTAAAGCCATTTCTAGAAAGAGTAAGACTGATTTCCCTCCCAATGCCTCGCGAGGCACCAATTACCAAGGCAGTTTTCATATCTGTTATCTACCGTAATCTTTCAACCTGAAGTGAGGAACATTTGTGGAGGCTGTAAGAACACTGTGTAAAACATGGTAGGGGAGATAATTCTTAAATAAAACATGTTACTTCAGACCCAATAAAATTAATAGTGTCAGACAAAATCGTTTTCAGTTTAAAGACAACGTTATGAATAAAACCCCAAATATAGTTAATATTACTTTAATAACATAATAAAATTAATAAATTAACATAACTTAGTAAGTTTTATGAAATCATTTTTCAATACTAGCACCTATATAACAACATCATCCAACAACAAATTACTTTTGCGAAACCTCACTAAACAAATAACAAACATTACTGTGTCACGAAAAAAAAATCAATTTCCCAACAAAAAATCTTGCTAATTCAGAACAGAGGTAATACTCATACTAAATAAATACTCGAAAATATGGTTCATAGAAGAAGGCATTTTGTTACGAATAAATTATTACATGACATTTTTCATACACTAGATACTTGTGGTTTTATATCAAAACTTAATTTTGACTGTAAAATAGTTGGTATAGGAAGTGAATATACATTGGCTAGAGGTTGATGGTTTTCAGAAAATATGCTTCTTAATTTTCTAACACAAACAGTAAGGAGTTTAGGTGGTGTATTAGCTAAATGTTTTAAATATTCTTTATAACTAGGATTAAGTTGAAGAAAGCTTGGCGTAAGATTGCTATCCATTGCCATGTTTCTCATTTTAGCTTTGGTTTTAATCAAATAAAGTTCTTGTCTAAGGTCAATTCCGTGATCTATGAGATATTCTGCTACTTCAATATGGTCGAATTCAAAGGCAATATACAATGGGGACACACCTAACGTAGTTAATGAGTTGATATCCGCACCCTTGTACAGTAATATCCTAACCATACTTAAACCACCAGTAGCAATAGCTACATGTAAGGCATTCTGTCCCCAGCGGTCTAATAACCGCCAATCTGCCCCAAGATCTAAAAAGATCTTCATCATCTTCTCATCCCGCCAGCCGATTGCTTCGTGTAATGGGTAGTTTTTAGATCGTGTTGCTTGATTTACAGGACATCCACGAGCAATTACATCTTTTACATATTGATACTTCAGATCTCCTTTATATTCTAACAGAGCATGTAACAACGTTTCTTGGTTTCTACGGCAGAGCTTTACATCCAGACCTTTATTCAGGCATTGAGAAAAGAAAAGGTCAGTGACTTCATTAGAATGGTGACTGAGAGCAGTAAAGAGTGGACTAGGACCGCTATCATCACTAGCATTAATATCGGCACCATAATACACTAGAATCTTAGTGATTTCTAACTTATTTAATCTTGAACACAGACTAAGTGGCGTTAATCTTTCATTCCCAAAATATCCCTTTAAATTAGGGTCAGCACCTTTAGAACATAATAATGTAACTATATCAGAATATTCATATCTACAGGCTAATATAAGTGGAGATTGTGAATGGAAATTCAGAGCATTTAAATTAGCACCATTTCCTACCAGTAACTTGACCATTTCAACACAGTTCTGTTCTGTAGCTATATGTAGACAGGTATCACCTGAGAATAGGGCTCTAAGATCTATCGGTGGACATGCTACACCCTGTGATATATAACTTAGTACTAGTCTTTGGTTTGTATTTAATATCAAATATGTGGCATGGGTATCTCTATTTATTACAGCCATGTGTAATGGGGTATATCCTATTGTATTGCAAGTATCGAGGGGACAATTTCGACTCAGTAGCAATTGCATGATTTCGTACAATTTTAAACTGATTGCTAGATGTAATGGTGAATTTCCATCACTGTCCTTAGAGGAAATATCAAAACCAGCATCCAATAAGGATCTAACTGTTGAATATTCTCCTAGTTCCACAGCCTTACAGATTGGTGGTTTGTTTAGGAATGATTCATGAGAAGGATCATGGAAGTCACCCGATCTATCCATAATCATGTCCAAAGCTTGAGTTAATTCATCAGTTGAATCATCTTGAAGGCTCGAGTTTAAACTACCACGTGACTGACCACCATGTTCATGATCTCGATCTTGATCCTCTGTATGTGTTGCACTATTGCTATTAATTCTTAAATACACCCTCTCTCTACTGCATCGACTCAAGATCTGGAATTCTTCGTCACCGGGTGGATTTTCTTCTGCCTAAAATATATTATACAGTATTTTTAAGCAGGTAACTACATTCTCAAAGTAAAAATGCTCAGGGCTAAAGTGTGTCGACGTCTCTGTTTTTCTAAAATTCTTAGACTAATATCTCGTTCGTTACCCTCGTGGTATACAGGGTCAATTTTGAGAATTTCAAGTTGATATTGGGTTTTTCTCATATATACTAGGCTTCTTTGGAAAGTCGTGAAAATGGAGACCAATTTTTGACACCAATTTTCACATCTTTGCCGACCTCCACCTTGACCCCGAGTTAAAATAGCGAATATTATTAAGGCCGCCGCACACTAACCGATTTTTAAAGCAACCTCGCGCATTTCCCGACAAGGCACGTCAGGATGACTTTAGATCTAATGTGCCAGATATGTCCCGGACACTCGATTTGTGTACACTCTGGCGATTATTCGAAAAAAAAATCGGTAAAGGTGCGGCGTTGGTCGGAGTTATTTGTCGCCGATTATAGTCTTGATTTAAATCTCGCGTGTGTCCCCGTGCTTCCCCGACAGGATTTATATTATCTATTATTACCTGTATATACTTATGTTACTGATTGTTTATAACTATTATATGACGATGACGGTGTGAGGACCACATTGAAACGTTGAAGTAATAAATATATCAGAATACCTATCCATAAAATTGTCTTATTTATCTTTATCTTGTGCTTCTAATATGGCGTTGAAAGATTATTATCAAACATTTTCATTTTACGATTACTTTGACTCCCAATAGTGATCTTTTTGTCTTAGTAAGGAAATGCTTTAACATCGCCCGACAGGATAAGCGAGACTATCTAGCATAATAATATACGGAGCTGGATGAACGAGACTTGTTTACTATGCGAATATAGGGCGAGGTTAATAAATGTCTTACCATTTTAATCTCTGCTTCGCTTTGCATTCACCAGCTTTCATTTTTTACAAACATCAATAATCTATTCATTATCACAAATCTTCAGAAATAAACTACTATCGCAAATCTTATATAATCTTTAGTGTTCCAATCGTCGGTCTGCTACTAAAAATACTCGATACTTGGTAGCACATCGGACTTTGAACTATATCTGTCAAATACCGTTTAATATGAGAAAACACGATTAAGGCCTACATTTCAAATTGATGATATTGCAGTTTTGCATCCACACATGGCTATACCATCACATTTCTCAAGATACTCCATATACTCTACACTTGGCAGATAAACGGTGTATAATAATCAATATGGTAACAGTGTTATGAATTGAAGATACCTAACCTTCTCATTGAAGCTTACGTGGCAAAGGGAGATAACTACAAGCATACAATTACACCGTTTTGTGCCCATTTGAAATAGTCCTAGTTCATGAAACCTATGGTTCAATATTAAAAAAACAATTTTTAAATTTATTGGTTTATAACTTTTTCTAGTCTGTTGAGCCACTGAGCCACCATATTGAATGCAAGTGTGAAATTCAAACTCATCCCAGATTTCGTCAATATATACAGGCACACCAAATTTCATAAAACTCAGATAAAAACTGTAACCTAGTCTCTTCCACGTTCATATGCGTCAAGCCAGTTTTCACCTATTTTGGCCAACTAAAGGGCAATAATTCAAACACTGATCAGCGAAAACTCATGAATTTTTAACTTAACCGAGATGTCATGAATATAAATTTAAGCATACCAAATACGACAGTCGCTGTCGCGTTCACAGGCAATTGTTCACTGACAGACGGACAGACGACTGGGCAGGGTTGATGACACTATACGTCCAGTAATTAGAGAAATCGGCTAGTAGTTTTAGAATATTGTATTATCATTCAACAGGAAGGATTGCCAGCCTTAGGTAGAACTATAAATCCCATATTATATCCATATAATGTAAAACTTCCAGAATGTTGTTTGTAATTCAGGTTTGGTAACTGGTGATCATTGTAAAGCTTCAATAACACACCATTCAATTTAATGGCACTGTAAGAAAAACAAAAGTTTTGTAAATTTTAGGTTATAGTTTAACAAATATATAAATCATTCTACTATTCTATCCCCAAAGAAGTAGGGGTTTAAATTTTAGTTTATTAATAAGATGTTCTTTTCTGCTTAGATCATCCATTCACAATTTATCAAGGGTTTCGCCCTTACATTATTCAATATTCAATTATGTAATTTTCATATTCACATTGTGTAGTCCCCTAGTGCCAAGTAAAGTTTACATATTAGTGTTTTGTTATAAACTCTGGTATTTATAGCCTTTGAGAGATAAAACCTACTCTAACTTCTGTGTTTAATGTATATTATTACTCTTGGTTATCCAAAAATACATTATATTATCAGTTTGAATCATTATCTTACCTATATTTCCTTTTTATTGACTTATTATTGACTTTTTATTGATGAACTTTGTTAGATCTACAAGGATCAAGTGATCAATATAGACATAGTTTCGGCAATGTCCCAGTAGGCCTACCCTACACGATACCACAAAACAGCCGAGCGGTTGGCTTTTTTCCATTTTTATACAACTCTGTAAGTGAAGCCTGATTCCATGAATATAAAAGATTATCAATATATACATACGATGATTTTAAACCTGCGTTGTCACCAGGTGAGAATATATACTGATGTTGTATATTACCATTAATACCGTTTATATTGATATTAATAGGTGAACTCCCTATATTCATAATGTATACTGTTACACTACCACGTTCATATCCCGGCGCAGTTCTGGAAAAAATTCAAAGAAATTAAAATAATATAAGGTTGAACATTGAATGATGATAACATAACAATCAGATTTATATGCAGTAATCTTATCCACTGCAAAATTCATAATAACCTGACTAAAGGGTCATCTATATATAGTGACAATACCTCGGACAGGTGTGCCATTATGAGTGGTTGATTTTAGTCTTGAATATATGTAAATAGTCTTCAGAAGTACTAGAAATGTACGATAATCACATAATTTCTTTAAAAATACTTCAAACTAGGAATTTTACTCACTATTTCTATATATGTCTTTTCTATATATCACAGATTATCTTAAATTGACGAGTCGTCATTTTAACATTCAAATGCATATAATTCTGGACACAACATATGGATTTGAAAGCTTAAATTTCGATGGTCAGTTGTGAACACTAATAGTGATTAGCTCACTAAAGTGTGATTGTTCAAAAGAATGGCCTACCTGTCCCTTTAAGCTAACAAGTTATAGGAAATGTACATTTATATGCACCCTGGATGTTTATGAAAAAATCACAGTGTCAACAAAATCTCGTACATTTCGCTCAAATTTAGGTAAGTTAATTTCAAACCACCTCTTACTAAAGATCAGACATCAACATACAATCTAGCGAGCACTTACTTGTGAGTGCAATGCGCATAGTATCTAATATTTGAATTTGAAGATTTGCCAGCGTTTAATACCACAGGACTAACCAATCTTTTGTACAATACAGTTATCCAATAATCCTGAGTAAAAAGTTTAAAAAAAATAAAGTTTAAACGCCCTTCACCGGTTCAAAGGACATGGGTCAAGATATATTCTAAAGTAACAAATCTTTCTGGATTGTTAGGTTGATATGGCAATGGCGGGTGTGTCGCCAGACAGGATATGGTTACACCTTTTCTAGCTAGATATAAAAAAAAACTTTAAAAACTTCATCATATATATTTCCTCGTATGAAAATTTATTAGCTGTTACAAATGTATTTCCGAACTGTTATCTTGGAATTCGATTTGCAGTTCAGATTGTTATTACTTGACATGCAGCGGACGATGAATGTATCTAGCTTAACCAAGCCGGAAAATGTCTCTACATTGGTGTATCAATATTCGATTTGATTTAGTTATCGAATAGTTGGATTTATTATAATGTCAACTGATTTTATTAGACACATTACCATTTTAATAACTCTTTTGTGAGACTTACATTGGTTGGGTTCATCTGATTATCTAACAAGGCGCCATAAAAAGCTTGTCTCAAAAATCCCCCAATACCATTTCTCGTCCCCACACCTAATTTATCCATCCATCTGTAGAGTAGATATCAATATAAATCAGGATAGGATAGCCTTGATATTCAGTGCAATAATAGAATAGTTAAGATTCATGAAGGTTTCATTGTAAAACTGACTAAAATATCTCAGACATAAATCAAGCAGGCAAACAAAATGAAAGTTTCTGAAATTTACCTGTACAGAGTTAACTTTGTACAGACTATTAGAACTGTAGTTATTAACAAAAACTCGCCAAAAGCCTGTTTCATGAATAGAAGATTTAGAACCAATAACGCTAATATACTCACAGGAAACTGGCAACATAAAGATTGTCCAATGAATTTGGCATATAATCATATGCTACTGATGTTTCTCCTAACCATACCGCTTTTCCTGGAGCAGCCTGATTACAAATTTTGACAGCATTTGTCACCTTTGGTATTAATGAATCCATTGTTTGAGCACTGTGAAAGTTACTCACTGTAGCCTTTTTGTTACTCATATAGTAGCTGAAATATTTTTATGGATATAAGGATTCAACACCGAATTTCGTCAAAGTTAAAAAAAAAAAATTTTTATGTCTTAGATATTTCCTCAAAATTGGATTGTTTCGATTTTCTTTATGAATCCCTCACTTTGACCCATATTTCATGAGTAACCAACTCGGCAACGGCGGCAGAATGCGTCACCTATTTTCGTGTACAATGTTTGATCTATAAATAAGTCGAGAAAATAGGTTAGCACGACATTAGGTTACTTGACTGTATATTAAATGTAAACTGGATACACGTTAAAGGTCTGTGTTTCCCGTCTGCATCTCCATTAAACTAAGTGTCACTAGTCGCAAAATATGCTTCACTTCACGATTTTTGACGTCATAAAACGTTTTAGTGAAATTGCAGGAACCACGAACGTCTGATAGAAAATTGGAACGGTGCAAATTGATGCTATTAGTGCCTCCGATACACATAAAAATTTTAGAAAACCTCTTTACAATATGAGCCCAAAATACAAGAGATGAACAATTCATTCCCGCCATCTGTGACAACAGAGTTTGAAAAGTGAAAGAATATACCTACTGATGAAGAGAAATAATATCAACGACATCTTTACCTCCAGCCCATAAGAATCTGTGAAACGACAAAAATTAGAATTGTGTAAGCAGAACATACATTGTGCATTGGTTGTACATCTACCAAAATATATGCATTTGTGCATATAAGAAAGTCTATGTTTTTAAGCAAGAAGATGAAGTCAGTGCCAGAGGTATTCTCACCAGATTACGTTACAGCCTAAATCTTAAATGTTATTAAAAATATCTCACTGCTGGGCGTATTGCATTGATTTCGTGTCTAGATTAGCCACATCCGGTCCAATAATTAGAGGTCTTCCAAGAGCAGGCAATCCAGATAATGTTTGTTTTAATATTTTGAAGTCATTTGCGTCTTCTTGCGCAGATACGGCGGTAGTTGGAGAGTATTCCAATTCTGTAAAAAGAAAAGGATTCGATCATGTTGAAGAATTAGTAATGAAAAAGAATGCCTTAGCTGTAAACCTACCATCAAGATGAGCTATTACAACAGCAATGATATGTCCAGAACTTTATAAAGGTTTTTTACAATTTACATGACTTTATGTATCATGAGTATAGCTTTGTCTACCTTTCACAAAAATCTATTGCTATCGCAATTTAAACTGCAATTATAAGTGAATAGTCATCGATATCCGGGTACCGAGACTGGCGAATCCTAGCCCCCGTGTGTTAATAAGTGTTTTTCTTTATTGTCTAGTGTGGAAATACCCTTTAAAGATAATTCAAAAAATGTAAACTAATACACCTGTAATGATGTTGTTCATGACATTATACAAAAAAGTGACAATTTAAGCTATTAAATTAATACACGTAACTACCAATGCTTAATATAGTATTTGTTTCACTGAATACCTCCTAAAATATTGTCACCAAGGTGCATGTATCTTTAAAGAGATTTTTTGAACATTATTTTGAAAACCATACATACCGTTTCCTAATTCTATACCAGAAATTTTGTACCCTTTCCATATTGAATAATTTAATAGATCTTTAGCATTGGTTGGATCCCACCGACCGTTTTTACGTAGAAGGGAATTGAAGTCAAAGATGAAATCTAATCCGGCCTGTTGTAAAAACTGGTTTAGATCATCCCAATCTGCAGCTGAAAAAGGAGGTTTAATTTCCTTGACACCATTAAC